CCATATCATTTTCAAGATTATCAAGCATTCTTTTCCATTCTTGATCATCAGCACATAATGGTGCTCGCATTCGATGCAGCATCACTCGTGCTTCATGCATACATTCTTCATAGAAGTTCGATGCACGTTTATTGTTTTTCATAATTATTTGTTGTTGTAAAATATTGATCCGTTGTTCAAGAGCATCGATTTCGAAATTATCATCTATTGACTTTGGTATTCGATTGAAATTTTTAAGTTGACGTAGACGTCTATCCAAATCTTCTAATTCAAAAATATCATCTTCATCGCTGTCACATTCACAATCACATTCATTGTTATAATTACGATTTCGATGTAATTTACGTCTTTCATTCCAACATCGTTGCCATTTATATTCATTTATTCTATAGAATGGTAGGAAAGATTTTGATATTGTAAAATTGTATTATTACCTACTCTTTTAAACTATTAGAATCAATAGTAGTAGAATGTTCCGTTGTAAACGGAATGCGTCGAGTATGATCGACTAATGGTACTTGTGTCATTATTATTGGAAGTTGTGTTTTATTTTGTTAGAAAAAGAAAATGTGTTTATGAGACGAACACAAAAAAATATACGATGCTTCGATTTTATTATTTTATCTTGTCTTATCTTTTTTTTATATTGTCGCCGAAATATATTTGATAGCACAAGACTCCACATAAAAATCCGTTATGAAAAATGGTTTTTCTTTCACCCTCACCCACACCCTCACCCACACCCTCAAGATGATTTGAAATTGATGTTTCTCAATGTCTTTCCTTTTGTTGAAGTTTTACATATTTCAGGTAATGCGATATGTATCAATGGAAATTTATGGGAACACATTATATCATCATTTCTTCCCCGTCTGCGTATTTTTGATGTTTTCTTTCAAAATTTTTCGCATCACGATGATGAAAGATTAATTGTTGAACGTCAAGTTCATCTTTTTAAATCTGCATTTTGGATTGAGCGAGGCTGCTTTTTCGAGTATTTAATACATTCAGAAGAAAATTATGATCAATGGATTTTCTGTTCAACAAATCCATATAGGTAATTGATTTCTGATTGATTTTAATGAATATTATTCTTATCTTTTAGAAGAAAAACATATTCAGTATATATACCAAGAGAAGAAGACTATCAAAAATGTTATCAATCAGTCGATCATATTCAAATTGGAAATCGAAGACAATTAGAAAAGTGTTTGAAATATTTTCCAAATGCAACTAAACTTACTTTCGAAAAAACTTTTGTTATCAATGACGAAAACTCAATAATAACCGATCTGAATCGAGTTCTACGATTAAAAAAATTGAAAACTCTCGTTTTCAACTGCCCTCATATTTCATTTGAACAAATCATCAAACTTTTATTAGTTACTTCTAATATTCAAACATTAACTTTAGAAAGAATGCCTTTTAACAAGAATAACAATACAGACTTACAAAATAATGAATTATTTCAATCATTTCCCGAGACAAATGTTATTAGAAATCTTACGACTCGAGAAATATTTCCATTAGAAAATACTCATTTACTTTTTATTTTTTATCCTCATTTACAACATCTTCAAATAGCGACTGACACAGAAAATATTGAACCGATAATACAACTTCTACTAGATGCAAATAATCCAAATATTCGTCATTTGATATCATTATGCCTTCGTACAAATTGTTCCAGCTCGTTTTTGGATGACGTCGAATGTTTACTTAATTCTGAAGCACTACTCGTTCAATGGAAAGTCAAACATGTTGTATTCGAAATATACTTTTGGAAATAATATAACTCATTTATCTTATAAATATTTTTATTCAACTAATTATATCGTGAAAAGAATAAATATATCGACAACTCCAACTATTCCTATAGAAATTTCAATGACTCAACATTAACAGCAATGCACACACACACACGTGATTGTTTCTCTTTTTTCTTGATTATATTTGTGCTGTTTACACAAATAAAAACGAATAAATGACGGAGACTAATAATAGGGTGTGAAGTGAAGCTATGAGTTTGAGAATAAATCCATGTAGGCCAAATAAATCTTACAAAAGAAAGAAATCCTGATACTTCTTTTAACGATGCGTCCTCACCCTCACTCAATGATAGCAATAGATTTTAGGTATTTTCTTGAATGAAATTAAAAAATACACTCATTACTTCTCATATTTTGGGTCAGTAATCGTCATACCTTTCTTTTTCGATAGTACTTGTGAGAAAACAGTACTTTTTCTTATCAGATATTACTGTTCATGAGTATAAAATCTATAAAAATCATATCAATAGAACACACTTAAAAGAAAACATCTAAGAAGTTCTCATTAAAAAGTATACCTGATAAAATATCAGGGTACTTATCGTCATTCCGCTTTACCTTTTCAAATGTTCACAATCACTTCCGCAGTCGTATTCGCAGCTAACACGAAGAGAAGCAACACGGTGTTCCAAAAGTCAAAGTAAAATTAATTGATAATAAATAATGAATTTGTCCGAACATATAGTGCACGATGTTTATTGATTTATTGCATCACTTATTCTATTGATTATCTAAGTTTCTTTTCGTACAATTTTGATAATAAAAGAAAAGATAATTTACATTGTTTGAGAAGGAGAATGAAAAAAATTGAGCCGTCTTGAAAAATCCTGACAAATTATCAACATATTTCTAAAAGCGAACTTTGTTCATTTCTTTTCAAATATCGTCATTTTGTTTACCTATCGTGAAAGTAGCGAAGTCAACAATCAGAAAGAGACGGAAAATCTATCAAAAGAGAAATGAAGTTCAACTCTATAAAACATCGAAGGAAAAGAAGAAATAAGAAGCTTCAGTCATAGTCAACAGAAAGAGAAATACAAGCATGAAATTCGACCATCGAGAGGATAAATAGTAAAAGAAATCCACGAGC